CAAAAATGGAAGAAGTCGGACAATAACCACGCCCACCTCCCATACAAAGGTTATGTTGAAAATCACTAAAAGTGCGTTAACCGACTAACGAAAAACGTCAGAAACACTAAATTTTACGGAAGAAATGTCAGAAGGAAGCTGCATCCTGGCTTTTTTTTAAATTGAAAATGGACCACTTATGGACCAAAAACCATATCTCAGGAAGTACTCAACCGATTTCAATGAAATTCGGTATATAATATTTTCTTAACACCCTGATGACATGTACCAAGTATGGGTGAAATCGGTTCACAACCACGCCTGCAATCTCGATTATCACTTTATCATGCGAGAGTATAAAATTTTCGGTGACACCCGAACTTAGCCCTTCCTTACTTGTTTTAAATATAGACTTCTTCGTGACAGTCTACGTAGGCATTCCTAGTCATTTCATAGTCTTAAAAGTATCGCTCTAGTGCTGGTCCATCGAACCTCCGGTGAACTTGGAAAGTATCGATTAACAACCAAATATGTGCGATTGCGACATCTCTCTGAACCGCAGCAGATCTTCTTTGCATTCTTCAACTTCGCAGCAATAGTAGGATTTCTAACGTATTATACATGTGTTTACATGTGGTACGATAAAATATTTTATCGGATGCTCTTTATTGAAGCTTTATGGAGCAAGAGGAGGTAGAAGCATTTGTCACTTTCTCCTTAATTGAAGGGCTTTGGCCAGACTTGACTGGGATATCTCGGTAGACACACATTTGGAGTACTCAGCCAAGTATGTGGAATTTATATGCTGCGACAAGGATTGCTATGCTAAGTTTAGACTAGGTGAAATGCGGTGAGCGCAGTGGCCACCCAAAAGAAGTAGTTACCGACGCAAATCATTAAAAAGTACATAAAATAATCTTGAATGGCCGTAAAGTGAAGTTGTTGGAGATAGCAAGCTCTCTGGAGAGTATATTCATCATATCAGCCACGAATATTTGCGTATGAGTAAGCTCTGTGCAAAGTGAATGTCGTGGAGCCCACTTTTGACCAAAAAAAACTACGAGTTGATGACTAGGAGCGGTATTTGGATATGTTCAAGCTCAATAAACCCAAGTAATTGCGTCGATATGTGAAAATGGAAGAAACTTGGCTGCAGCATTTCATTTTGAAGTCCAACGATAGTCATTCGAGTGGACTGCATGCGATGAACCCGTTTCAAAGCATTGAATAACTCAACAGCAGGCAGGCAATGTTATAGCGTCTTTATATTGGGATGTCCATAGAATAATTTTATTTGACTATCTTGCAAGAGTAACGCCTATCAACAGCTTCCATTATATGGCGTTATTGGATCGTTTGAAGAACAAAATTACTGAAAACTGATTGCATTTGAAGAAAAATTATGTGCTGTTTCACAAAGTCAATGCACCGAGTCACAAGTCAGTGAAAATGAACTCGAAAATCCATGAATTGGGCTTCAAATTGCTTCCACATCTGTGGTATTTTCCAGATCTGGGTATTTTGTTCTCAGATCTCAAAAGAATGCTCGCTGAGAAGAAACTTTCGTCTAGTCAGGAGGTGATCGCGGAAACTGACGCCTATTTTGAAACAAAAGACAACTTGTATTACAAAAATAGTATCAAAAAGTAAGACGGTCGCTAAAATCGGTGTATCACCCTTGAAGGAAATTATGTTGAATAAAATAATCGAGTTATGCCAAACAAAAAATGTGTATTACTTTGATAGGCGGGGATTTTTCAATTGACCTGCTATCAAGCACATTTGCTGTTGGTCGAAGTAGCTAACCTTAGAAATAAGATACAGTTAATGAAGATTAATTGGGTCAGAAAACAAATTGAAGATTTTTAGCTTTCCATGTCAAAGAAATCCCCTTAAGTTTCTAAGTCAAACGGCATTGTTAGACGAACATTGAGGGTTTCGACTAGACATTTCCAACAGTCCAGTTTAAAAAACGAATGCTTATTCCAATTAAAACAATTAGTTGAAGTCAACTAAACTTTTTAAGCGCATCGAAATATTTTAAACACTTTAAGCTCATCGCATAGATATCGAGAAATTGCAACACTTTATGCGCAGGAAGATGACACTGGAAGCCACTCGAAAGATAAACAAAGTAAAACCAGAGCAAAGAAAAGAAACAAAGCTGCCAGGAAACGTGTCAAGCGCTAAAGCAGCTTAAATTTAATGCTCATTTTGAATGCCGTGTAGATGCCCTAATACATGCACACGCCACCGGCGCCTCTGGCTCGAGCGTCTGGAGGTTTCCGCCTGTTGATAGGGGATTCAGCTTAGTCGACTTGTCTATGTTTGTAGTACAACGAAATAGTGTCTCCACTGGATCCAGTATTGGTTTACTTGCATCCGGATACTGTTTAAGTATGCACTTACACACACACACACATACACACAAATGCATGCGAGTGCACTCGGCTATTGATACGTGGGTATAAAGTTTGCCAAAGTGTCAACATGGATGAGATAAACATGTTCCGAATCTACGGCGTGTGTGAAGAGCTGTGAGGTGACATTTGGTTTTGGACGAAGAATAAGAAATGAAAGTAAAATGTTAAAATATAGTGTTTAGGTGTTGATGGTGTGCTAGGATTACCAAGTAGAATTTATGTAAAATGCGCTCAGATCTAACTTTTGAGAATAGAGTATCACTTATTAAACAATTATTTTCAATATCAATATATGAGCTTGTTAGGAAATTTTTATTTAAGAAAGTTTAAGCCGTTTTGAGTCGCCAAGAACCCTTGATTTCAGCAGCAATCCTTTCGGTTGAAGAAGCATTTTTGAAGCGGCGAGTGTGATGTTCCCATAAAACAAAAACGGATATGTACTTTTCTCCATGGTATGGCCTGTCTAGTGGTCAAAACTCATAGTTGCGACAATATTTAGACATCAGCTTGGAAGAATGTCTTACATACCATATCCTTATAAAATTTGCTCAGAAAACGTTTAAGTGATATTTGCTAGAATCACACTCAATTTGTGTCTTGTTTTTACACTCTCAACAAGGTTTAACAAGTTTATCACGATGTGACACCCAAAGAAACATCAGAGATTCTGTAAAGTGTTTAACTGAGTGATCAGCGAAACGAACTAAGTCAACTTAGACGG